ATTCGTCTTGAGGGAAGTATTGGGAAGAAGAAGATCTCTTTGGTTTCAAAGAACCCGGCTACTCCGCCGCACCGGGGAAGGTAGAAGTGATTTTTGTAAGGGCTTCTCCGCCTAGCTATGGGGGCTAAAGGAGAGGCACTGAGTGAAGTGCAATACTAGGAGGTTGCCTCCGATGAGTGGACGTATGTCAAGTTGAACCCTTATCTACAGCCACCAAATAGAGAAAATTCATTATCATGGTTGTAGAATACTTCAACAAATGGGTGGAAGTAAAATCTCTGGCAAAGATTATTTAAGCTAATGCTAAAAATTTTTTATGGAAGAATATAATCTATTATTTTGGCATTCCTACAAGGGTCATCACTGATAAAGAGACATATTTTTAATATATTTATGTAAAGATTTTAATATTCAACTGGTGCACATATTAGTAGCCCATTCTAAGGCAAACGGGCAAAACGGAGATTATAAATTGGAAAACATTGAAAAAATTGAAGATACACCTAGGGAAGGTTGGGGGGGGGGGGGTAAATGGGCCTAAGGAACTCCTAAAATGTCCTCTGGCTATCAAATCACCACTAGAACCCCTATAGGAGAAATCTCGTACAACCTTTACATTCATACGAAAGAAGTCATACCGGTAGATATTGGAGTCCAAAGCCATATAATTCAAAGTTTTGACTTCAATAATAATGAGGAGAAGCTCAGAAACAATTTGGATCTCCCTCCTAAAGTAAGAGATATAGCCTCACTTTGAGTCGATGCATACCATCAAAGAGTTGCCTGTCACTACAATTGGAGGGCTAAGCCTCGACGTATATCAATTGGGGACATAATTCTGCGTAGTATCGAGGTAGATAGAAAGGGCCCCCAGCATAACAAACTCTCTCCCCTCTATGAGGGTCCTTATTTGGTGGCAATATGGGCAAGCATGACACCTTCAAACTAAAGGATGTTGATGAAAAGATGCTTCAACGAACTTGGAATGTTAGAAACCTTCGCAAGTATTATTAATAGGTGTTGATGATACTTATAATCTTGTGTTATGCATGTTCTCCTAAGTTATTGTGTAACCCCTTTATGTATCCCTTCTATATTGAATATGGTTTAACTTTAAAATCCCTAAGTCATATTAGAGAATTATTGTATTATCTCATATAAAATAATATGTGTTATTCGCTCCGTTCTGATACTGTCTCCTTCTTTAAAAAAAAAGGATAAAATTGACAATAAAAAATTAAAAGAGAATCTAACCTCTTTATCCATGATTTAAGAAATACATAATCTACATTATATCTTAATCACTTTATGATCAATTACGGGGGAATTTGATTTGGCCTCTTCCATAAAAGTTAATGTAATAAAGAAGTGCATTGACTAATAACATCGAATATGTCAAATATCCTAGGAGGATGTCTTGTATCCCAATCACTGATTGATCAATCCTAGGGGGATTTGATCTGACCTCTTCCATATAGGTTAATATCATCTAGAAAATGCTTTGACTAATAACCTCGAATAGGTTAAACATCCTAAGAGAATATCTCTCACATTTTCTCTTGCTAAATTAGCTCACTAAAATATTTCTCATCATCCAAATGAAATAAAATTAAGAAAATTTCATATAAATATGAGAAAGAAAAGAAAGAACATTAATATCTTCTTGATATATCTCTAAACATATCACATACATAATATGACAACATCAAATACATATAATAATCACTAAAAAATATGAAGTGATAGAACTAACAATAAAAAAATACTACAGAATCTAAACATAATCATCCTGGAGGGTAAAGACTTTCTGAAACTCACTCTCAATCTCATCACCATCTAAATATGAAGAAGAGCCATTAGAAGCCTAGCTAGTTATGAACCCCTCAATCTCAGCTCCAATCTTGCGCTACACTAGACTGACACCTTTCTAGAAAAAATCTCAAATGAAGCCTTCCTCCATACACTCTAGCTCAAAGGCCTTCACTTCTACATCATATATATGATCACAAGCTTCTTGAATATGATCTTAAACTATCATCTTGAAGGCAACAGACTTCCTAAATACTTCTATAACTCTGGAAGGTGATAATTCTTCTTTGGACTTAGCTTCTTTCTTAGACAACACTATCATATTGAAGGCAACAGACTTCCTGATACTTCTATAATGACTATGGATCACCATCATTTCCTAAATATTTAGGAGGAACATTTGAAGTGTGTACAGCTACCTCTGATACTTTGGCTGATTTTTTTAACATATGTACATGACATTTCCCTGCCTGAGTAGATAATTGCACCTTGAAAAAATACTCATTATCTATATATTTACTCAAATAATGTACCTCATTGTGAAGGATGTATACACAGGAAGGTTGAGCATCTTTAATAGATCTACTCCAACATAAAGGGGAATGGGTAAATCCTTCAGCTTTCCTCATTTTTTTTCAGAAAATTCCAAGCATTCTGCACAAATAAGAATCCACTAACCTAACTCTTTGATGGGTCTCAAGTGAGAAAATCTACTACTTGGATCTAAAAGTTATACAACCCTATGTATCACAAGTAAGTCATCCCATTCAAGAAAGGCACTCTAGAGACAACACCGCACCACGATCTCTAAAAAATATGATAAATCCCATTATAATCGATACGACTCTATAAGAAAACTTTGACAAACTCACTCCACATGTCTTTGAACTATCAATCAACTCTGGGGGAGGAGGAAATCATAGCCTTGCTGGCAAATTAAACCCATAGTTAGTCAAATATCCTAGAGAAGGAGAACACACACATCTAACTTTTCAGGCACCTTCATTACAAGGCCATTTGGGGAAATGAAACTTATTCCTAAAAATGATCAATGAGTCACTGCTTATGGTGAGACAATATCGTCGGTCTTGATCACCTTGTGAGGTTTCTTCATACTTTCATATTGGGCAGCATAACGATCTCCTTTTACTAGGGGGTTTTTTGGAGGCATGGTCACCCATTTGAGCTTCTACACTAAAGAGGGGCACAAAATTTGGATAAGGGATGCCACCTATCAAAAATAATAGAGAGCTTCTAAAGTAAGTAGATAAATGAGGAGGCAGGAGAGGGGAAGGCTAAAAAATTTGACTCTACACAAGAGATGGACAATTTATTTGATAGGGGATGCCACCTATTCAAGATAGTGGAAGGTCTCAACTGTAAAAAAGTTATATGGTGAAGGATGAAGGAGAAGCGATGCATTTTCCCCTTTACCCCAAAGGGGCATTTATAGGAGCTAATGAGGAGAAAATAAGCATCTAAAAGAATTTTAAATTTAAAAAAAAAATAGAATTTTATTAATTTTTTAGATTTTTTGAAAATTTTAAATTAATTTTTAAATAATAATAATATTACTAATTATTATTATTATTATTATTATTATCATTATAAAAATAAATATAAAAAGAAAATATAAATAAAAATATTAATAATTATATATGTTTCTAGAATAAAAAATAACCTGTTGTGGCTAGTACGTAAAACGGTGCCCGGCAGCCAAATACGCATGGGAAATTGCGAGGGTAAGCGCTGGCAGTAAGCAGGTGCGTGTTGGCGCACGGGAGGGCAGCAGGGCGAAGGCAGTGGGTAGGTGCGCAATACAGAGCTGGCAACTAGTCATTTTCAGGCACATTTTTATTGCCTGAACAAGCCAATTTGGACATTTTTTGGGTCTCAGAACTATTTTTTTATCTTCTAGACTCAATTTTGGTACTTTTAAAGTCAACCGAGACTTCTACTCCCACGATCGAATTATTTTGGAGTTATAAATTACTTTAAAAATTCCTTTAATATTGTAATGCACATTTTTGGGCTTTAGGAGCTTCGACGTCAAAAAATAGAAGGGCAACTAATATATCATAAAAAAATTATCTTGATCAATCACGAATCTCAAGGCAAAAACAATTTGTAAACTTTCAAAATTATATTTTGGACCATCCAAATTCTAATTTCAACAAACTTACAGTCGAACTGAACATCTAAAAATACAAACCCAACGACACTAAATTCGACCCAATCTAATCCCAAATGGGCCCAAATAAAAGACCTGAATTGCATTTGGAAAGTTCAAGCAATAAATTGGATAACCAAACCATTTCCAAACATGACATGCTTATAATCGAATTGAGCGGCTCGACGAGAAGAATCCAGCGAACCTATGATCGCCAAATTTTAATATCATTAAGACATTCAAATGCCTAGTAAACAGTCGATGATCAAGGGAATCAATATCGGTCGTCAATTCAAACCACTCTTTACTTACTCTTAATCTCCCTCTTATTTACTAGGCATACCACTCTCAGAAAACTATAAATAGATCCCTCATTTCTTATGGAGAGGGGACCAAAGTAAGAAAGAGAGAGAAACCAGAGTTCTCTTGCCACCAGACTCTTCATCGACCACCGCAAGACTTCTACCCAGCCACCAACTGACGCCGGGCTTCCACCCAGCCATTGAAATTGTCGTCGAACTTCTGTCAAATCACTGAATGATGTCGGACTTCCACTCAAACACCGATTGCCTCCGAACTTCCTCTCGACCACCGATTGTCGCCGGACTTCCACCCGGCCATCAATTGACATCAGACTTTTATTCGACCGCCAACTGACACAAGATTTCCGCATGACCACCGAACCTTGCCGAATTTCTATCCAATATCGCTCGTCACTAGATATCAACCCAACATTTGATTTTTGTAATCTGATAATTCTAAATAAAAGGATTAATCATTTGTAATATATTCAAACATTAGTGGAATCATTTCAACTAAGTGTGGCCCCATAATTTTTTCCCTTTTTAGGGTTTTCCACATAAAAAATCTTGTATTTATGAATTCTCTATTTGTGTTCTGGATATCCGTACAATATTGAGACGAAAAATTCTAACTCTATCATCACATATATTCTAGCCCGCAACATGCATCAATATCAGATTGAAAATCATTTAAGCTTGAGACAAGTTATTTGCTCACTTCACTTTAAATTTTTTTCTCTTATTCAATTATTTATCATTATTACAACCATTTGAGCTCCACCCTCTCTATGAACAGAAACTACCATGCACAAGATTTTTTTTTTTTTTTTCAAGTGATTATTTCTCCTTGTAAAGAGAATACATCAGATAAGTAAAACAAGTGACATAATAATATACATTATATAAATGCTTCTGCCTTCCAATGATATCTTAAATTATGTACAAGATATTCTTTTAATCATCCTTAAATATGGAAGCGATACTTCAAACAGCAGAGATGAAGAAGGTATTGAGATTTGAGACGTTTAATGGCCACATTCAGCAACACGTCTCTTCTATTCATTAGTAAACCCAAGAAGGAATCGCAGGAATGCGCCGCGAAGCCTTCACCCCCAGCGGGTTGTTCTTGGCCTGTGACAATATCAGAATAAAGGATGTCACATAAAAATAAATTAAAAATATGAGGATTCATCAATATAGCACAGATTAGCAAATAGTAGGGTCATCAAAATTAATAAATTCCAGTACATGCTTTTATAATTTGTCCAACAGCCATGTAAAAAACTAGGGGAAAAATGAGTGAAAATTGGTCGATTATTTATGTATTCTACTCATTTCAAAGTAGATTCAGAAGTTTTATGTAGATTCAAATTAACCTAAAATTTCTCTATTTAGGAGTTCCTGTGCAATTTTTTTCCACAAAATGATATAAACATAAATAGGTGAAAAGAAATTATGACAAGTTTTTCAGATGTGTTTTTGTGCCATATGTGCTAGACAAACAATCAAAACATATTAACATTTGAATAAAACAACAAGACAATCTTAAAGCAGATTATAAATTTGAATATCATTTTATCTCATAAAATAGTTAACTCATTGTTCTTATATAATTATTTTTCTACTTTAACTACAAGGTGATTTATATGCATATATAAAATTCCTATATATTTAAATATCCAATATACAAATCTTTATATTTATTCATATAACATCCTTATCTCTAAATTAAGTAAAAGATATAGCTGATATTAATCAATTTAAAGTCAAAGGCATCTTTTTATGCATATGTTCTAATGTGTTTAGACACTGAAATATTATATAAATAAATCTAAAAATTCAGGTGATAGATACATACATACAGAGAAATTATGCGATATGCCTTTAAATCCATCACCCTTTAGTCTTACTTATATACTCTTGATATAAAATTGCGTTACGAGCTAATAGAAAAGAAAAACGTACCATAAGGCAAGTTCCAGAATGAACATCACACAGAGGGTAATCTGGAGGGCAGCAGCTGTTGTGATCTTCACAGCAGGTAGCGCCATCAACGGGACAACATCCCCATGCAAAGCAGAGCTTGCCATACTCATATACACAGCAGCATGTGGTGCTAGCAGGACAGGAGTAATATTTATCACATTCTGTGGGGGGTTTTACGGGAGCAGGTGGTCTTGGCCTTGGGCTTGGGCTGGGTTTTGGCGGGTTTGAACTATGTTTGACTGGATAAGAAGCTTGCATCGCAATTCCGCATTTGCCGCTTGCTGCCTTCACATTGCGCTCTATCCTTACAAAGCCTTCCTCTCCCCAGTCTTCACCCCAGGAGTTTTTAACAATCCAGTAGTCTCTTCCATTTGCAGTGCCATAGCCAACAGCGAGAACGCCGTGGTCTAACTCGGTCCCACAGTTGGCGCTGAATATGCCCTGAAGCAGAAGACGTTGAGCTAAGAATAAGAAATTGCAATAACATCCTGCATATATATACCAAATCTTGATATTTTTTGAAAAAATATTACGAAAGGATATCATGAATTTAAAAGCGTTTACATTTATTTTGAAATTGTAATATACAACAACAACAATAACCTTTATCATGTGCATTTTTTCTTTATAATATATTAAATGATTTGTCATGATTATTCAACAAATTTTACACTTGTAATCAACAACCAATGCAACCCGTCATTTTTCTCATCCAAGCAATGACAATGTTAATTTTGAGATTGTAATATGAATAAAAAAAATTACCTCAAAATATTATGATACAATTTTTTTTAATGACTCTATAAGCTATGCATAATATTATTAATCTCAAAATAAATCTAATATTTTAAAACCTATTCTAATCATAATTTTCTATACAACTTATTCATATATTACACTCATTGTAAAATAAATTTTAATATTTTAAAGTTTATTCTAACCAATTTATATGAGGAAATTATGATATAAAATATTTTCTACTTCATATAGTAAAACAGGCCGTTTGAGAAATCTACCCGTTAACCTACATTTACCAAATCTTGATATTTTAGTAAACAGTTCTCTATAGAAGAAAATAATAAAATTGGCTAGATGTTCATCTTTTAATCTAAGAACATGTATTTAGCATCACAACTTTCCCATTATTCCTAATGGAAATAATCAACTTAGGCTAAAATTCTTAAGAAATGCTGCTACAAATTAAAAAACAAACAAAAACAAAGCTTGGTGATTCTTAATTTATAATAGTTAATCGCTTCAACCATTCCTATATTCACAATCTGTACCACCCGCGTGAAAGCTAGGCTGGTGCTGGTAGGTTAAGAATTTATTTGGGATAAACGCAGCTTTTTTGTAAAGATGGTTATAGAACTACTATGAAGAAAATAATTTTTTGAAAACTGCTATAGAAAGCAGCTTCCTATTACAACTTTTTTTTTAAATAATAAAAAAGTATTCGGGCTAGCGAACTAATCATTCCTATTAAAAATATAAAAGACAAGCAACGAATGATTACCTAGATATTACAGGCCATTATTCTGAATATTTTCTCGCGTGACATGCTGCCTTGGCAGATGAATTAGTGTGGCAGGAATTCAAGTAGAAGTAAAGGTGCAAATAATGTACTAACATATGCCAAGAATTAATTTAGGCACACTGAAATTATCATGTTGAATTTGAAATTGATAGAGGTAAAATGCATTTGATGTGGGCAAAAATGTCAACTTCTGCACAACAAGATTTAGCTTGCAGTTTCAGCCAAGCAGTAAACTTGGCAGATTAAAAATTATTCATTTTTATTATCTTTTACGATTTGGTCATAAATAAATTAACTCATTATATTTTTAATTTTAATGAAAAGGTTATTTTTCAAAAAAATTTAAAGAATATCATGCATTTATAAAATAAGTATGATAAATACATGTGATAAATTAAAGGATAGTAAAATCACTGTTCGATCCATAATTTGCAACATTTATATATTATTTTGAAAGTATAATGATAAGTCCCAAAAAAAACATCATGACAATTTTGTTCATTTAATGACTAAATTATCCTTCAGTTTTTAATAATATTTAACGTGATATTCATTATCATAATATATTTGAGATTTTTTTTTGAGAAGTCACTGGAATGCCATATATATATATATATATATATATATATATATTCTTATTAGTTTAGAAGTAATCCAATATTTTTTTGAGGATAGCAAGCCCACTATGTTCACAAATATTTTCCTGACAAATCTTTATATTAGTTATCAGGACAAACTTTATATATATATATATATATATATATATATATATATGAAAGCTTTTTTTAATATTTAAAAATATTAGTTATCAAATTGTGTTGCAGAATAACGCTGGATATTTCTATAAATTAACTCAAAAATATAAAGAGCAGTTTCTCCTGGTAATACTTGAAAATAATTATTTGAAACAATGGTTTTCGCAAGTGCAATATCAATGGTACAAAGCAAAGTTTTAAGCAACAAGTCAATTTCAGAAGCAATAAGAGCCAACAATGAATAAAGAAATCTTACCGATTCATACAACTGGAAAGCCCTTCCAGCGGCTTCTATGGCGACGCTGACGGGCTGATTTGCAATCGCCTTCTGTAGAGCCTTCTCGTCGTTTACCGGAACATCTTCATACGAATCAATAGAAACAACCCGAGCATTTTTCTGCAACAATTCAAGAAAAATAAACAATTTCAATTAGCACAGTCAGAAAAATCAAATATGAATGACAATAATAATCAAATTTTTTAGAGTGCAGGACAGACAGGACAGGATACATACTCTGTAAGCATCGCATTTGCCACCATGGCCTTTATAAGGATAGTCTTCCTCCGAGTCAATGCCCCCATTATTGATGATGAATTGAAAGGCGTCGTCCATAAGACCACCATTACATCCTTGGTTTCTGGCGGTATCACAATCCACTAGCTCTTGCTCTGATAGCGATACGAGCTTGCCAGTCACAATCTGGTTGATCCCTTCCACGGCAGCAATGCTCGAAAAAGCCCAGCAACTCCCTGCAACAAAATCCCTAAAAAGTCATATCGAAGCTTCAAAGAAATAATCCCAAATTCTTTTCATTTTCTCCTTCGATTCCAATGGAAAAAAGAACATAAAAGAAGAACATACCGCAGGTCCCTTGATCCTTGACAGGGACAACGGCGCCCTTTGCCCTCCAGTCGACGGAATCAGGGAGACCATCGCCAGCAGCGAGGCGGTAGCGATCGCTTGGGTACTGGGGGTGAGGAGAGCGACGGAAGCCAAGATATAAAGAACGGTACTCATCGTTGGTGAGATCGGCGAATCGGTTGAGACCGAGGCGGAAGGAATGAACGCCGGCGTTATGCTCGTCGATGTAGAGGAGATTGTCCTTGAAGATCTCGAAACGCCTCTCCTTCTCGTCAAGTTCATTGTAGATCCGGCCATGCCTCGCCATCCAGTTATCGTAGAGCTCCCGCACATCTTCTTCGCCCCGCTCGAGCTCCCGTGTTCCATGGCGCTCCCCGTAGGTTATGATCGACATATCCGGCCCATTGCCACCCGCGATCGCCACTGCGATGGAAAGAGAAAGTAGGAGAGCAAGCGAAGTAATGGAAACTGAGGCCATTGTAGAGAGAAAGACAGCTTAAATTGCGGGCGGGGCTTCTTGGATTTCGCCTTCTTCCATCAGAGCTCTCCTGGAAGGTTATTTATAGGTATAGAGGAAGAAGGGGCGCAAGCTCGGCAAAAGCGCCCAGCTGTACCATTCATAAAAAGAACATAAAGTTAGGTAGTAATAGAGTGCCGAAAGGGAAAATATATTGGACGGTTTTGTTTTTATACCAAATTTTTACCAGTTTTAATCATTCATTAAATAGATTATTTTAATTGTTTTCTACTCGTCAAAATCGGATTGGAAATTGCCAGCTGGTGCCGTGAGTGGGACCGTTTCTTGCGTTCGGCCCTTAGTTTAGTCGACAGAGATTTTGCTCCGAATTTGAAGCAGGGAAAGAAGTTTGAGATTCCTTGTGGGTCCTTACCGTATCCGACGTGGCAGCGTATTTTATTTTTTATTTACTTTTTTTTTTACCTGAAGACCCAAAAAGATAAATAAAACCTAAAGAAAACCTTTTTCCGGCTTCGGTAGAGATGGCTTTCTTGCTATCTCTTAAAGCAAATTTTTAATACAATAAATAGAATTTTTATACTAAAAAATTGCTTCAAGAAGCAAGCAGTCCCAAATGAAGCATCAGTCTTCAAAATGTTTTTTTTTTTTAATCCACCGGGCTTAACTTGGTTAATGGGCAAATATGGTTGGGAACCCCCAACTCATATTCATGTCCCCTCTCAAGCGGCTTGCCTCCTTTGAGGGGAGTAGCAAAGCGTGGGTCCGACACTTGTGGTTGGCTCCGGTAGGTTCCAACGAGAATTAGTTACGCCGTCATGCTCCTCTTAATGGGGGTGGCAATGGGTAGATATCCCCATTCCCCCAAAATTTTTTTTTTTGAACATTTAGGTTAATTAATACTTTTTTTTGAGAAATGCTAAGAAGCAATTAATAGAAAAAAGACTAACCTAGATACAAACTAATTAGAGACTAACCACCTATCACACTCTTCATTTAAAATATGAATAAAGGTAGAGGGAAGGTTGCTCTTCAAAAAAGTGTCCCAAACAAAATCAAAAGACAAAGCTAAGTTAGCGCAATAATCTACTAACCTATTACAATTTCACCCAACACAATTAAAAATCACACTATTACATTTGTTCAAGAATAAGAGACCTTCCTAATCACTGTTCTCGCTGAATTTCCTTTGTTTGTTGTACACTTGTTGAAGAAATTTGAGAACATTCTTATTATCACCTTCTACTATTATACCTTTAGCCATATAAATCCAATCTTGTGTCACTTCCTTAACAGATTTGAAAGATGAGAGTTCCATGCGAGCTATGTCCCAATGCCTTCTTTTCCTTCCAAAAGCAAGAATAAACCTCTCTAATTAATACAAATTTAAACATACATTATATATACAAATTTTGGATCCAAAATCTCCAAGGTTTTAACTTGGAAGGCATTCTTAATATTTTTTAAAACAACTTTTTACTAAAAAAAAAAAAAAATTTCAAAAAAATTTGGTTTAAGAGAGTAAAAAAACCTTCACAAATAAATCCTTAGTTGGTAGTCAACATTCCAAGTCAACAAATCAAGATGAGCTAAGTGTTAAAGGCAAAGTTTAATCTATATTAGAAACAATAATTTTGAGCGTGATAAAAAAATTATTGAATAAAAAGTAATACAATCTAAAGATCAAAGTATACTTGACAGAAGAAAGAGAAATAAAATTTCTAATAGAAAAAGATGTAGGTCAATTGATGAAAGAAGATTGCAACAGCTCCATCCAATTGCCTCTTGAAGGCAAGGTGGATTGTATCTAGCAGGATCAAATAGGCAAGAAGCCAGGTTCAACTTCTAATGTCCAAAGCACATTGTAAACATAATAGCCTAGCTTGCTTAAGCCAGAATCTGAGAAATAGAGAGATTAATCTCAAAATCGATAAAAATGAGCACATTCCAGCAAATGAATTCACTACAAAAAGGGCTAGGAACACACACTGCAATAAAATAATAGAAAAAAAAAAAAGTATGATGTTCCTATGGTAGTGAAAGTGATCTGATTGTAGCAAACCAAAGTTTCTCCATAATGAACAAAATATGGCACAAAAAGAATTAATATACCAACATTAAGCATCCATCTAGATTCTGAATATATACCGCATATCATATGTCGTGCTCTCAGATCTAATTTGAAAGAATATTCTCTTTTAATTTTTTAAGTGACTACCAAAGCCACTAATAACATCCATATACAAGAACAATGCAGCGGAAATATCATCTCTTTTCATTTCATATAATATCGAAGCATATACATATGCATTTAATTTATATCCTAAAATATCATATGTAATACAACATTCACATTAGTTTATACTTAAACCTTAAAGACTACAAAATAAATATTAAAAATAAATATACCTAGATTAGTCTATTTGGATCAACCTCTCTCTACTAGATCTTTGCCATTCCATTAAATTATGTTAATCACACAATGAGCTAACCATACTGTTAAAAAATTTAAAGTTAAAAATTCTCTCAATATATTACTAGAACCTACAATTATTATCAATGTATAACAATATAAACAATATGAATGTAATCATTCAATTAAGATGAGTATGAACAGAAATAATCAATGCAACAAGTGTCAATCAATAACTAATACAAATAAATATAAGGTTGTGAATATCATATTTGACATAGAAACAAAAGAAGGAGATGTTCACAGCTCAGCCTAACCCAAATTCATATTTTAACTCATATGGTATTCATGCAGCTTTTTAGTCCTATACCATAGGGGAGTTTTAAGTAGTTGTCCTTATATAGTATAAATTATACACAACTAGTAACAAAGCATGTTATGTGAGATGACATTGTTGCAATCCATGATCCATAGTCTATGATTTTGATCATGACAAACATTATTGATTGAATTGCTATTTTTCTCAATAGATATTTTGGATATATTTTTTTTACTGTGAGCACTAACATTACAGGTAAAATATACCTATTCAAGGCTACTAGAAACTTAGGATTGGTAGAATAGAATGTCAAGTAAAAGAGCCTATACTTTTAATTTTTTTTTCTTGAGTATGGTCATATTAGAGTGTATGAAATTGGGTGACCGTGCACACACACACATAGGAGGAGTACAACAACAACAACAACAACAACATCAAGCCTTTATCCCACTACGTGGGAGGAGTGAGAAAAAAAATTAAAGTTAAAAACTTTTTATACTAATCATACCGTATGACTTCCAATCACGCGATATGATTAGTTATATGAAGAATGGGTTTAACAACTAACTGAATGATTAATTTATATGAACTAATCGTACTACATGATTAAGATTGTACAGTACAATTTATTCTGATCTGAAAACTCTAGCCACCGGATAAATTAAGTAAGATATTTAAATTTTAAATTTTGAACTAATCGTATTATATGATGTTATTTGTACTTTACAAAAATTTGAAACTTACTTAAATTAAACCCCATAATTAGTAAATCAAATTATGATTTAATTAATAACAGCCGATCGTACTATATTATATCAATCGTACTGTATAATTAACAAAGATAAAGTTTGGTCATCCCAAAGATCGTATTAAATAAAATCATATTTTTTGAACATTTCGTGCAATACAATGTTCACATTGTATAGGATGAATCACTAAAAAAATGAACTAACCATAATGTACGATGAGAGTTGTATAGGATGATTGATAGAGACGAGCTACAATCGTCCCAAGAGTCATCATGTACGAATAAAGAGAAACTAAATATATCATACTGGACAGTCATAGGATCATATTGTACGATGGGTTCAAAAAGTTGAACATTTCCTCTAAATGACAGTTTGCATCGTTTTGGATGGGTCTTAGTTTTGAACTAATCGTAATATATGAATTCCAACCATATTGTATGAACATAGATGACCAACTTGAATTTTTAGGATTTCTTGAAGCATAATACTTAAGAAATATTTGAAGAACCTCTTAAAAAATAGAGAGGATTGTGTGACTGCTTAAGAAACTTTGAGAGAGGTGATTTTGAGAGAAAATTGGGGTTTGAAAGAAGGAAAATGTGAGGTGGAGTGTGAGGGGATCACACGGTTACTCCGGGTTGGATACACCCTTGCTCCTCCTATGGCCTTGGTGATTCCTTGAAGGCTTTCTTGGGAGAGAGAGGCTTCAAAGTCAAGTCCTTAAGGTACTCTTCCTTCTCTAGGAGGGAGAAAAAGATTGGAGGTACTCTTCCTTTCTTGAAGGTAGAAAAAGCTTTCGGTTCTCTGCCTTCTCCATGAGGGAGAAAAAAAATCAAGGTCCACTACCGTCACTCAAAAGATGACATAGCTTCTAGCACTCCGTCGCATCAGGTTTAGTGAAAGTGAGTCTGTAATGAGTTCTTTGCCTTACTGGAAAAAAAAAAAAGATTCACTTAGTGTTAGTGCAATACCTGGAGCGGAGGACTCTGGCGAGTGGACGTTGGTCATGGTTGACCGAACCACAATAAAAATTTCAGGTGTGCTTTCATTTTCCTTTTTTTATTTACCTGTAGTTTTCTTTCCATGCAAGTTGAGTTTATTGGTTTAAATCTTATTAATCAACTTTATTAAGTTTAACCCTTTTTGCTACAAGAATATTTACAAGTGTTAAACAAAACTTTTATCATATACATTTTTATATAAATTTCTTCCATATGATATTTTGAGTAATCTATCTGAATTAAGTTATTTAAGTTATTTTGTGGCTAAAACAAAAAAATAGTATTCATATGTAGGGATTTTAAAATTACCTTTTCATCCTCATCTTGGTGCGCCTCGGGCTAGTTCTATGAGATTTAATAACATTCTCAAACTTTCATGTGGTATCAGAGCAGGTCTTAAAAATTAGATTTTAAAATCATCAAGAGAAGATCAATAACATATTTTTGTAATCAAAATATTGCGGAGGGTTATACAATAACCCGCCCATCACTATTTGATAATATACCGTTTGATTTTAAAAATTAACATATCTATCATTTTACAATCTATTGATTATTCATGTGGTTTTAGAACAAGATGGTTATTCTACACCAACTCTTTTAATTAATGGTATTAAAACTAAATTATTGTTTAATGAATGGAGAAATGTTGATAGAGGTTTAGCTTTGTTA